TCCTCCTTCTCCTTCTTCGAAACCTGCAAACATGCCGATAAAATTTCTCCACATCTCAGCTTACATTTGGATTCAGTTGTTTGTCTACTTGGGCTGATAGCAGGAATCCTTAAGAAATCTCCCTCACCCCAAGAGGGAGGAAGGGAGGGTCTTTTGTGGCAACTTGATCAAACATTGTTTCTCTAAAGAAGTGTTCAGAGCCAAGGTAGCCAATGTCATGGGTGCAGCTCAGAAAAAGGGTCCTATTGGGGCTGGAGCCATTCTCAGCAGCTAAGAGCTCATATTGCTCTTGCAGAGGATCCAAGTTCAGTTCCCAGGACCCACATCAAACAGCTCACAACACCACCTATAACTTCAGTTCCAGGGATCTGACCTCTGCAGACACCTGCACTCACGTGTACATACCCACACATACACACACATAATTAAAAATAAAATAAATATATTTAAGGGGAGAGTCCTGTTCTACCATTAAGGATACATGACCCTCCCATTCCAGAGGTTTTTAAGTGATTAACTAAGGCAGCTCACATGGGAGAAAAGAAACTGTGATTAGTTTGTAGTTTATAGTAGGAGAGGGGGAGATGTGAGACATTCATACTTTATATTTTAAAGCATTAAATCATAAAGTCAAATTCCGTATTAGAGTTTCTTAACAAAAGACCGATGCCACTAGGCTGGGACTTAATTGGATGTAGCCTAGATTAATAATAAGTTTCTTAGGCAGAACATCTTTTGACAACTTAGCCAAAGTCCTGGGGCCACCCTTCTGATGTTACATAGTTATAATTAGTCACATTACAAATTGCTACTGAGATTATCCCCCCAACTGGTGGCTGGCAACAGATCTTCAGAGAGCTAGTCAACAGACATGCACACCAATTTCCAAATCATTGCTGTTTCTGTGATTCAAGCAATCAACATGATCAAATCAGAACTTACTGATTCTCTCTAGGGTCAAGATACTAAACCCTTATAGAACAGAAAATGTCCTAACAACCTGTAACAGGAAAAGACCTTGTCAGTCTTTTCTTTCCTTACCTGATGGGTACTCAAACTCTAAAACATATTTCCTGACAAAAATAACAACAGTGAACTTACACCAATAAATGTTCATGGGTTAAAGTCTGCACTGACATTTTCTCATCAGCCACTAGCATGCAGGATGTTAGTGACCTACAGCAAGGCAGACTGCCCCGAACTGGACTTCACCAGAGCTGGGACTGTCAAGTGATGAGGCAGCACTGAATGGCAATACAGGCTGCAGATCATGTTTAGAGTTTAACCTCAAAATAACTTGTTTTTTTAAAAAAAAATGTGAATTACTGTAAAATAATCTATTTTTGGATCCATGTGTTTTCCAGGTGGATATAGTTTGTAAACAATGTGAATAAAATATTTAATATGTTCAACTTTCTGTGTGTTGTTCAATTCTAATCTTTGATATTCTAAAATTGAGATTTCCACTACCAAATGGAGCTCATGGACTAGTGTGGTCAACACTTTAAAAAAAGCAAATGAACCAAGGCCTCACTATGGAACCTGGTGACCTGGAGCTTGCTATGTAGACCAGACTGGCCTTGAACTCATAGAGATCCACTTGCCTCTGCCTCTGATTCCTGGGTGCTGGAACTAAAGGTATGTACCACCACAACCCACCAACAAATGCATTTTTATTTGAATGCAGTGTTTTTTATTTTGCTTCACTTGAGGTTGCAATTTGTTTCTTGCTGGGAACTGTCTCATTTAGAAATCAGATTCACTTCTTCATTTAAAAAAAGCTGATTCTGAAACCTGGTTTCTCAGTCCTTTTGGCATTAATGTCTTGGAGCTGAGTGGATGCTGTGTCTTGGGACCAGCACTTGGTCACCCCTCCTGCCTCTTGGATGTGAGGTGGTCAGCTCTCATTCTGGTTCTTGTAATGTTCTTGGTTTGGGTTTTGTTTTTCAAACATTTTGAATGTGGGACCCCTGCACTAGAGATAAATGCCATATTAAGAGACAGAACCAAACTCCACTGAAAGAAAAAATTATCTAGAAATTGGATATCAGCTAAGTGGGGGAAACTGAGAGCTTTCAGACTCTGCTCTGAACAACTTGTGTCAAGACCGAGAAGGGCAAGAGGGTGGCAGGCCCTGATGCAAACAGAACAGGCCAAAGTGGGCAAGACTGAGAGTGACAGAGATGCTGCTCCCCCAAACACAACCCACTCACTGAACAATCCAGAGACCAAAACAATCCCACTGCTGCTCAAGGAATTTCCATTTTACGAAACCATCAAATCAGCATCGTCTTTGTATGAATTCTGCAGGCTGCCCATGACAAATTGCCAAAGTTGGTAGCTTCAAGCAACAGCTAGAAGACCTAAATCAAGTACTGCCGTAGCCATGCTGCCTCTGTAGGCTCTGGGAACAGAGCCCTCTATACCTCTTCCAGCTCCTGGTAGCTCTGGTGCACTTTGGCCTGAGGCTGCAGAACTCCAATTCCTGCATCATCTGCAGCACCTGCTCCTCTTTCTCCCCTTTGATCTCTGAGGGCCAATGGAGGATGGCATCTGGAGATCCTTAACTTAATGACCTCTGCAAAGACTCTTCCTCCCTCCCTCCTCCAAATAAGGTCACAGTCTCAGTTTCCAGGAGTTAGGATATGGACATGTGCTTAAGGGTTCCAGCATTCTAGCCACATTTTTCAAAGCAGGATCTAAACACATAGCTTCTTAGTAAAAGTCATTTGAGGACAAAAAACAAGGGATTGTTTAAAGCGTTACTCAAAGCAAGCAATAGGAAAGAATGAGAGAAAGGAAAAACGGCAGACAATGCAAAGTTGACTTAATCAAATGGCAGAACAAGCACTTTCTCTAATGAGGATTTGCAATAGAACCTTCCACAGCAAATTCTCAGTATGTTGATATGTGATTGCTTAAATTTGCTTAAAATTCAAAATGGAACTTCTTTAATTCATATTAACCTTTCACTTCATTCAAAGCTCTGAAATGGTAGTTTTAAAGATTTGTTTTTATTGGGCCTGGAGAGATGGCTCATCAGTTAAGAGCACTGACTCTCTTGCAGAGGATCCAGGTTCGATTCCCAGGACCCACGTGGCGGCTATGAACCGCCCTTGACTCCAGTTCCAGGGGCATCCAAAGCCCTCTTCTGACCTCTGCAGCATTGCACAACATGGGTGCACTCACATACATGCAAGCAATACACTCATACACATAAAATAAAAATAATAAAATATTTTTTAAAAAAGATTTGTTTTTATTTTATGTGCATGAGTGTTTCACTTGCACATGAGTGTGCCATGTGTGTGCCTGGTGCCCACGGAGACCAGAAGAGGATGTCAGATCCCCTGGAATTGGAGTTAAGGGCAGTTGTTAACCACCATGGGGGTGCTAGAAACAGAACCTCAGTCCTCTGGAAGAGCAGTAAGTACTCTGAACCACTGAGCCATCTCTCCAACCCTTCTGAAAGGCTTTTTAAGCCTTCATTTGTCTTTCAGGCATTTTAAAGTGGAATTTGGTCCTTTGCCCTTTGGTCATTCCATGAACTAAGAGATCACGAACTGGCCAAACAATCATTCTGTGGCTTTTCTCCCAGAAAACCAAGTGGTAAAAGGTCCTTAGAATTCACTTCTGGGCCAGTGAGGTGGTTCAGTGGATAAGGTCACTTCCCACCAAGCCTGAAGACCTGAGTTCCATGATCCCTAGGACCTACATGATAAAAAGAGAAAACATACTCCTGCAAGTTGTCTTCTGACCTCCACATGTACACCATGGCATGTGTACACACACAAAAACACAAATGAATGAGTTTATGAATATCATTTAAATTTTTTATTGAATTTTGTGCATTTCATACAATATATTTTTATTGTATTTAGCTCCCCTCCTCTATCTGCACCCTCCCTTACTACTCCCACCCAAATTCATGTGTCTGTGATTGTATTAGTCAGGGTTCTCCAAAGAAACAGAACCAGTAGAATGAATATGTATAAAGATTTATCAGCTTAGCTCACAGGATAGAGTCCGAGTAGTCCAACAATGGCTGCACCACACTGGAGAGGCTGAGAATCTGTAGTCGCTCAGTCCACAAGGCTGCATGTCTCAGTAGTCCCAATCCGGTGCTGAAGGTCTGACAAATTCCAAAATATCAGCTAGTCTTCAGTCTACAGCAGCAAGATGAACTCACCAGCAAGAGAGAAGGCAAGCAGCAAGAAGCCC